TTTCTGGTCAGATACTTGGGGCATATGATGTTGAGTAGCTGGTTGAATTCCGGAGTTGCCAGATGCCAGCGGTGGAATGCATCAGTTCGTTGACCCATTGTCGGCGGAATTGTCGTAAAGCTTCGTTATGGTAGGGGATCAATTGGAGAGAATGCCTCTGGCACGCGCGTCGAGCTTTATTCGTTTTCCTCTGACCGGCTCGCATTCGGACCTCACCTCGGAACCAGGAGACAGTCGTGAGAAACTCTTTGGATTAAGTGTATCTATCACGCCATCAGGCTGTCGTGATTGGGCGTACTCCGCAGTCGTAGAAGTCAAACATGTTCTAGGATTGAAAAAGGAGATCACCAAAGTCCTGTCACGAGATTGAGTTTTGTGTACGTTCCCAAGTTTCCCAACACCAGACGAATGGCTGTGCTTGTGGAAAACCGCTTCTCCGCAAATCTTCTGGGCCCGTTGGGTTTCGTTCTCGCGGAACCAAGAATGCCGATTTGGATTTGCTGCTAGCCATCGCTAGCTTGGTGTCCTCTTCTCGTACGCGGCGCTTGTGACGCACGAGAGCGACTTCCGCATTGCGAAGGAGATGCGCCTCATACCTGAAGACCTGCGGAAGGCGGCATGGAAGATTGCCGTCGTACAGCTCAGGACGTCTCTTCCACCACTGCTGCATGTCGACAGCCATTTTGACTTCTTCTGGAAGACACCGCTCCACGGCTACATGTCTCGCTGGAACCAGTACGGCTCGTTCTTCCACGACAACTTCGTGCTGCTGGCCAGCTCGACGGTCTACATGGGTGTCGTCCTGACGGCGATGCAGGTCGATCTTGCCGCGGAAGCGCTTTAGAGTAATGCGGTCTTTCCATTGGCGTCTTATGGCTTCACTGTGTTCTCCATCGTCGGGCTGCTAGCTGCCGCTGCTCTTGTTGATGTTACAAATACAGAAGGCAGAGGCGAGAGCGAATTCAGGGCTGACAGCGTTGACACCGCTAGCGAGGTTAGCCACCTCAATTGGCGAGGGTCAAGGCGGCGCGTGCTGGTGCCGGCGGGGAGCACCGACTCTTCTACGAATCCCTACATAGGTATTTCACGGAATGAGTCACCTTCTTAACGCATTGCGCCGCGGTGACATTAGCACCCGTTGGCGTTCTTAGCTGTGGCCTGATTTACGAAGTGGCCTGCTGATTCCAGCGACTGATGGGATGGGCCCGCTGCGTATGCTGGTGCCCGTTGGCATTTAGCAATAGGGGAAGATTCATTACAGAAGGACGTGCGGTTGAACAGGGTGCCTGATATATTCAACCGAGCTCGAATGACTTGTGATTACATTGCCAGACCAGGAGCGAAGAGGAAACAGACAACACGCCTCTCCAAGTGACGACCTGAATTAAAATCACTCTTCCACCGTTAACCGTCGCCTGCGGCACACGGAATGAAACATATATTGTGGTGCCACCGAGGCTATGAAAAGCTGTGGGGCTGTCGCAGTTTTGCGTCTGTCCCACCCGGATCAAAGAGCTGGTCGATTCGCCCGGTAATGTCCAGTTGCGTGTGAAGCTAATGATGGCTTTCTCGTCGGTTTTGAACGTCACGTAGGTGAATCCAGCTAAGTGGGCTGCTAGCCCAGAGGCTGGAAGAAGGGCGTGGACGGCCCTGGTCGTACAGGCCACCTCGGATTACGTGGTACACTATCGGGGCAGTACCCACTTTTCGACCAATCAGATCACTCGCATCAGCCCCAACCCCAACTTCAACGCTGCGCGCGCGCGGGCGCGCAGCAGTAAATCGTTCTTTTTTCGCACTCTGCCGAAACGTCGTTTTTTGACGTCAACCACACCGATGGACTTCGCGACGCCAGACGGCGCGCCCTACGCGCGCAGCCCGCCCAGCGCCCAGAATCCCTCAATTTCGCCATCGCCGACGCCTTCTACGGCCTCAGTTATCCCTACCCAGCCCGACTTTGCCATGATACCGAACCCTCCGCAAGGCGGGGTCAACGGGGAGCCTGCCGAGTCGATCGACGCCTTCACGACCCATCTCAACGACTTCGCCCGCGCCAACGGCTTCGCGATCGTACGCCGCAGTGGCTCGAACCCAAGCGACGGTAAGGCTACGCGATACGACCTCCTCTCCGACCGTAGTGCGGTGCGTCAGACGGTCAGTACAGGTCTACGCAATTCGTCGACGGGCAAGATTGGCTGCGACTAGAAGAGCGTCGTCACTGCCCGCGCTATCGACGACTACAAGTGGACTCGGAGGCTTGCTGTCGACGCCAAGCATCACCAACACAGCCATGGCCCGTCTCTCCACCCCTCAGCCCACACAACGCATCGGCCGTACGTCTGTCTAGGCTCCCTTTCACACCTTCCGCGCCCAGGGCCTCTAGTACCACGTACTGTGGAGTGAGAACGACCCCGACGTCCCTAAGGTCACCCTCTGGACCTACCCCTTCTGCGAGCGTATGTGGAAGCGGTTTCCCGAGGTTCTTGGCTTCGACAACACGTACAAGACCAACCGACACAAGATGCCGCTGTTGCAGTTATGAGAACAAAAATTTTTTTGGGCCTGGGATGCGTACTAACTTGCTCTAGATTACTGGCACTACGGACATTGGTTCTCTCTGCAACTGCGCGTTCGGCCTCGTCTCCACGGAGCGCAAGGAGGGCTACGACTTCCTAATCAAGTCCTTCAACGAGATACATACTGAGGTCGGCGCTCGCGAGCCCAGCGTTGCCATCACCGACTTCGAAGACGCCCTGCGCGCCTCGATCATGGAGGCCCTGCCTGCCACCCAGCTGCAACTTTGCATCTTTCACATCAACGCCAACGTCGACAAGTACGTACGCCGTCGTTGGCAGGGCGACGGTGGCGCGCCTGCCGACGAGTACGACGTCAACCCCGACAAGGAGGCTGCCGAGGCAGAGGTCGCTGCCGCCGCCAAGGCTGCGCAAGAGGCCCGCGAGGCAGAGGCGGCTATACTCAACGACCCTCAAGCCCAGGCTCTGAACGAGGTGGTCCGCGCCAACAGAGTATTGAGTAGGCGTCAACTTGACGCCCTCGTCATCGACCATACGCCTACGGGCTTCACAAAGCTTTGGGCGTACGTGATGTACGCCGATACGGAGGACTTCAACGCTGCCTGGGCTCGCCTACAGGAAGAGTTTGCTGACCGAGAGCCTACTCTTGACTACCTCCGATCGACCTACTTCCCTCTCCGCCACCAGTGGACCCAGTGCTTCATCAGCGAGTATGAGAACTATGGCGTTCGCACCAACTCTCCCACCGAAACTGCACACAAGGACCTCAAGTCCTATGTCATCACCGGGCACTCAGACCTTCTCGGCGTCTCTCAAGCAATCGACGAAATGCTTCGGAATAAGGAGCGTACGTACTGCCGTGGCCGCTTCACCCACCAGTTCAAGCTTCCTTGCAGCCACAAGATCCTCGAGCTCGAGAAGGACGGCGAGAAGCTCACGATATACGACGTCAACCCGCGTTTTGAGTTGACAGCGTCTTTAACATCTCAAAACCTAATACCTTTTTGTATTACTCCGAGCGGGAACCATTCCAGATGTAGTGTCAAATGCCGCCGAATGCCTGCTGTGTGTTTTCACTGTACTCAATACACATTTGTCCAGGCGTTTGGGTGGCAGCTTACTATGTACATCGGGCATCCATTACACGTCTTCAGCCCTCGACGTATTATCGCACTCCACGGCACCCCTTCAAACAACTGGGTCATGGAAAGTTGTTTTCAGCATTGGACGACGTCAATACGTTGAACACATAGAGTAGTTGGGAAGGAATCGGAAACCACAAAAGAACACCCGCTAAAGGGTCCCGACTCTGAAGGCTTTGAATGGGCTATTGCTGTGTGCAGCAGTGCTTCTTGCAGTCACCCCTGATACAACAGAAGGGTCAACCTTTAGACATTCGAGCTAACCGACCGCGCCCACATCACTGGATGGTAAATTTCAGGTAATGCAAGACGGGGTGAGCGCATCAGCTGAGAGGTTACGGATGTTCATTTCTAAGCCGGCGAAGAGAATATGTTTAATGAGATACCCGCTTAGTACAAATGTAAAGTACGAATTATACCTGAACAACTTGGAAATGGAAATTTCGGTGTTCAAAATGCCTCAAGAAAATATATATGGATGTGGTATCGTGATATTGAAAGAATTACTTGCCAAGTGCTTCTTGTCTGACCGCTATCACGGTAGCTCTGCAGGTTCCTTTCTTGATATAATCGTTCCAATGCCCCCGGTGCCCTGTGTGCCGCTTGATTCGACTTCCAGCTCTGCGCGTCGTTGGGTATTACTAGAATCCAGTTCTGCTTTGCTCGATTCTGCGTCCAGCTCCATACTTTGTTGGGTGCCTTTGGAATCTGGTTCAGGTTCTTCAAACCCTCTCGTCTCCTCGACACAACTCTCAAACGTTCTCAGGCTCTGCCTCCTCCGTCGCAATAGAGTCCAAGCTCCCAGAATACAGAACGCAACCGCCAGAGCAACACCAATACCAATCCCGACCTTTGCACCAGTCGACAGGGACGATCCGCCTGGAGATGGATTGAATGTGGGAAAAGATGTGGGGCTTGCGGGACTGGATGTCGGTTCTCTCGATGCAATGATAGCGAAAACATTACTGACGGCGTCAGCTGCGGAAGGGAAGGGGTTTGCCGTCTGATTGTAGTACGAGATCGTGTAATTCGGACTCTCAGCGAGGCTTTCTGGCACTGTCCAATTGTACGACATCTCATATCCGGGATAGCTCTGTCTCCAAACACCATTGCGTTCGAAGCAGGTAATCCTGTACGGTAACCATGAGGGAGTGTCTAAGGCAACTTGAAGCTCGTCTGAAGTGACGGGGAATGTTAGTGGAAGTTGCTAACTAGTGACTCAGCGACTGTGGAAGAACTCGCCGACAATGGTATGGCCCTTTCCAGATTGGATTTCGCTAAGGAAAAGTCCTATTTTGGCGGTTTCATTTACATCCACAGCCCAATCCGACCACTTGATAGTGACCGTATCGCCTTTATGCAATTGTTCACCTTCTTTTGGCGATGAAAAAGAGCCGCATATCGACATAGCAAAGAGGAAAGGCCTCCAAAACCCAAAGTGGGCTAGGAGGGACTGTTCCTTTCCAAGAGAAATGTTTGTCGGAATGGGTTGACCGACAAACTGTCAGCATAAGAATGATTTGACTGGAGGGGAGTCGGGGCGAGAAGGAAAAGGGGACACAGCATGCCGTTGTCTTTTCACTGGGCTGGGTGGCATATGAGGGATTTAATGGACGCCCAGAAGCCTCCTTTGGCATAGAATGCTACAACACACGCATGCATACCTGCCTCTTAGGGAAGTGCTCATATCATTGATCTTACCACTCGGCAGGAGATCACCCTGACAGGCCTTCAAGTGTATGTACGCGGTGGATCCTGCTATCAGACGAATGGTGTCTACCAGTGTCCCAGCTTAGAGGCACAGCGCTCTGTGGAGGACGGCTGATTCGGATTAAGCGCATACTGCATAGTATGCGGCCTTCACCCCCACCAACGCAGTTGTTTCGAGTTTACGCAGGGCAAGTGAGCGGAAACCAACTTGCAGAGGGCCGTGATAACAAGGGAAGAGGACAGATAGGGGATGCACAGCCTACTATGTAGGTTGACGGCCAAAGAAGCGAGACTTGTGCTGGTGGGCGAAGCGATCAACGAGAACAGACGTTCAACAGAGTCTGTCGATCGCATCAGCTGGTTGGCCACAAGGGCTGAACATTCGCGGGCCCGGGAAATGTGGGATTGTCGCCGATTGGCACGTCGGAGATGCTATATCCACCAAATATACCACATGGTCTGCTTATTTCTGTACCTTGCTGTATATTGTACCTTGGCATCAGGGATAGCTATATCCATGGTGCTACTGTCAGGCCTGTGGGGTCTGTTATGTTAGCTAACCTTTGACGCCGTAATCATGCATGGGAGTTGTGGTCTTGCCAGGGCTCCCTTCCCCCGCTTGGGTTCCGAAGTACATGGCCAGCACTCAGCACTCGGCACCCAAACGTGACCTCGACCAGCGGGCTAAACTGGGCATGTTTAGCGGCCGAGAGCTTCAGCGTTATTATCGCTTAACTGTTATCCCAGATGGTCACGCCATTAGCCCAGTGCCCCCGTGCCATCTTCAGTCACATGACAGCGCTAGCACGATAAAGTACGGTACATAGAAACGGCACTAGGTCCAGGGTTGCAGTGGGACTGGTGCTAGGACCGCCGTGCCAAAACGGACGTGCTAAAACGGACGTGCTTAAACGGAGGTGCTGGAACTGATGTGCCTTGACCGACATGCCAAACCGACGTGCTAAGAGAGCGTGCTGGAACGAGAACTGCAACAAAGGCTAGGACGGTATGCGTCAGAATTGCCATTGGAACAGGAGCTAGAACTAGAAAACGGTGCTGGAATGAGAGCCAAGACAGATGCTACTGTAGAGCCCAAAAAGAAGCGGGCCTAATCCCCATTGGGTGACTCAGCAGCGTATGAATTTTCAAACGTGAGGGACGATGCTCAGTACATGTGTACAAACACCAAGAAGGGAATTGGTCGATATGATCAAGACTTCGGAACCCAACCCAGGTCTGTTTGGCGTTGAGATCGCAGATTTTTCGGCTTCAGAAGTAATTGCACGCCATTTGCAGAGTGGATCCCTGGTTTCGCCCGTGCCTCCAGCAAAAAGCGCAGGCTTCGCCAGAGGTCATGCTTTTTTTTGTCAGGATGATATGGGGTTGCAAATGAGAAAGGATGGCAGGTGATACACAGTACATATCTGTGTACACGAACTGCTGCAAAAGCCGCTGCCATCAGAATCGGTGTGGCAACGCCGACATGGCTTATGGATTATCTGGCGATTTCAGTGATTCCTTCAGCCTGTCGAAGCAGCAGCTTATTGATTCAAGTCTGGCTCTATGATCGATGAGGCCACTTATGGGTTCCGCTCGACGGGTGGATCAGTTCCTGCAGCGACCCCACATCACCCCTAGCAAAAGCGTGAAGCTGACTGACATCTGGCGGGGCCCGTTCCCACTTGCGCTGCCCCCTCGGCCGCTTGGCTTTGGTAGACGCCGTCATCGCGACTGTTGCTTATCCCTAAGTTATCACACTTCGACCAGGGGCTGTATAACCAGCAATCAATGGTTTAGTTACCTTGACGCCCTGTGGTACTGGTCGCCCCCGACCAAGTGATTACGACCCTGGAGCAGTAAGCTGAGCACAGGCCATCTTGACGCCGAGCGAGTCTCCGCTCGTTTGCGTGGTTGCAGCACTCCAGCAAGGTGAACACGACTTCATACTGTATGCTGTGGTACTTCGCACAATTACGATAAGATCCTGCATAACACTAGCCCTGTGAAGCAGTTTTGGTCGCGTTTCCTATCATTGCGCTGCAAGCCCCTTCTCATGGGACAAGCGAAAGCAAGCATAGTGATTGGATGGCCACAGTCCCATAGGGTGACCTAAGCGCCAAGCCTTGGTCCGTGCGAAGGGTCTCTCTGGAACCATCGTCATTTCTCCCAGGCAGACACCAATCGTCACGCTTCCCCACCCCGTCTCAGCGCCTGCATACTGGAGCCTGATTGACAGCTTATGCTACTGTATCGGTGCTTGTATGTACGTTCTCTCGAAACTAGTGTCCATAATCGCGATCTTGCAGGATCGTGCCACAACATTCAGCTGCCTTACCCATGCACTGGATACCTCGGTCACTAGACGTCCCTTCTCTGATCTCTGCTCTTCAGTAACTGTCTCTCCACATGGAGAGGTAAACATCATCGTCAATCAACGATACACTGTGAAGGAATTCGATGCCCTCCTCATCGGCCTGCCGTTCGGCCTCCTCGCATACATGTATGGCCCCGGCTAACCAGTCAGCTTCAACCTGACTTGCGTTGGCTTCGGCTTGCATTGCGTGGGCTTCGGCTTGCTTTGCGTGGGCTTCGGCTTGCTTTGCGCGTCGCTGTCCTTCTAGGCTGTCCCGCATTTGCTTAAGGAGAGACAAGGAAGCAAACATGTCCAAGACCTTCTGCTGAGTCTCGGGCGACAAAGCCTCAAACTGCTCGTCATCGGTGAACAGGAGAGACCGAATTATCTCCTGCTCCGTCTTGCGTGGCGGAGCATCAGTTGACGCGCAGTCAGACTGCTGCTTATGTTAGCGACGCATGCAAGAAAAGGCATGGAACTGACTTGTTGGCTCGAGCCAGATGGTGGGGCTAACTGCGGTGCAATCCTGGATGCATAAGAATGCGAAGAACGCTGAGGTTCACCCCAGCCGGGCAGCGAGCGGTTCGGCGTTGACATCGTGGGAGAAATTGATAAATGGAGAATGATGCTCTTGTTCTTGTTTGTGTTTTGGCTTCGGAATCATACTGAGTATATTCTCGGGCTTTTATGTTTTTTTTCTACTATCGCTTGATACTCGAAAACCTGTGAGCTACTGCGCCTGAAGGGGAACCGTTATGTTGGTTAGATTGTAGATATGCGAAAGCTTGTCCCCATCTAACACACCTAACACGCCGTACCGATTGCGAAACGGAGGCTGGTGGATGGCACAGGATTGTACCTGGCTTTCCGCGACCAAATCTGCTGGCGGTCTCCTCGACAGGGACCAGAATTAACGTTCAATATAACAATAACAGGTGGGGCTTACAGGCGGGGCAATTCTAGGTTTCCTCTCGAGCGCCAGCCTCCACCCGACCAGCATCACTCAGAACACCCACAGCCTGTGATGTCGGCAAGAAGTCGAAAAGCGGTGGATTGGTGCGTCACACTTCAAGAAAGATTGGAATATCTTCAGTTCGTAAGTCCCTCGATTCTGCTTGATGCGATAGTATCCTAAATTGAAACTCTGCAAAACCCGTGGGCCCAGGCCAGGCCTGTCTCGCACCCTGAACTCGGCCGATGCTTTCCAGTTGAGTCAAGCGAAACCTCCCACGCGCCGAAACCCCGCGTCTGCCGATACTCAGCACGAACGACGCGAGGATAATATTCAACGACATATCGAGATCGTTCATTTGATAGGACATACAGGGGCGCGTTGCGATAGATCGCGAAGAAGCTCGGCGCTCACTGACTAGATCATGCAACGCTGTGGGAGCTGGAGCGAGAAATTCTCATCAACGGTCTTGACGAATGGCTGGAGTACACATTTGGAGAGCAGACGCAACGGCCATGCATATGTATACTTCAGGTAACACGAGATGGCAGCACGGAAATATCTGCACGGCTCTGTAGCCCAGCGATGGCCGCCGGATACTGGCATGATAGGGGCCCCAGAGATGTCGCACTGATGCGATGTGGCTCTTTGTTTTCATCTATCGACCACCACCGCCGTCCACCGCCGTCCACCGCCTAGTTCGAGCTCGATCCGCGAGACACAATACTTTGACTGCTTCGGTCCGTCCGATTACTGAGTGTGAGAGCTCGTGCACAGATTCCGTCGTGCGTTCAAGGGGCGACAATCCTTCTTCGTGAAGGGGGCGACAGGCGACCAATCTGTCTATGATCTGTAATGTTGCGTAGCACCGATTGTAACATGCCTGGTGTCTGGTGCTTCCTCTGTGGGGGAGGTGATACGTTCTGTTGGGCTTGTTGTTGTTGTTGTCGCGGAACGGTGCAAACTTTGTCGGAGGTGATAGGCGCCATAAAACCTATTTATAGCTGTAATGTTGATATTTTTGGGCGCGGTTGTGGTGCTTCTCGTGATAACCCGTGACCCGCTAGCGAAAGTGGCGATAGTGTTGTTTACTGACATGGCGTGCTTTGTGACTTGCTCTCGATTTTTTTCGTCGTCAGACCCCGCCCGCAGCCACGAGCAGACGCTTTGAAGGCAGATTCAATGCCGAGGATGACATACTGTAGTACCCCAAATGACCTCTGCGAACGCAAGCAGGCGTGGCTCGATCGATTTGGTGCTGTTTTCACAAATCGTACTCGCCATTGTTGCTGCAGTATTTAGACTGCATAAGGGGTTGAAATCACTTCGTTATGTAAGGGGCCGGGCTCGGTAGTATAATAATCCCATAGTCACGTGGGCCTGCTGCGGAGAAATCATCTCACATAGCCTGGGAGCGTGGCACAACTGAATTGTGACGAACTTTACTCCTCCAAAAACCCCCGCAGTTTTACAGGATCACGCACGAGAATTTAGTGTTTATCGCCGACTTCAGTTCACAATCTATTGTACTACCTCGAGCTGTCACAAAATGGTTGATTTCGGAGTGAATCCAGAAGCCGTCTACCCTTATCAGCTGCCGTGCCATGGAGATAACGCTGATGCCGACTATCTCATCATCCTGGCGCAGTGGGCCAAGCACACACCGAATGTCCTGAGAAAAGTCAGCAAAATCATTAACGACCCCTTCGGCAGTCTTGCGGACTTTCTCGAGTGGTTGAATCCACCAGAGTCAACAAGCTTCTTCAGCAGGATGTGGTCCTCTATATGCATGACCACGAAGAGGGTCATCACGTATCTCATCTCAAACCCATGTCTGATAGTGGCGATCATCGTTCTTATCGTGGTTGTTTGGATGCTTTATCGATTGCGTCAGTCTCAGGCTACTCGGGAACCCCTGTATGTACCTAATGTGGACTGAATTTAATGACAAGTTCTCAAGAGGCGGGTGCAGGCGTGTCCCGGGGTAGAACGACCGCGCTGTGTTTAAAATGGCTACGTGGCAGGGAGATGCTATGAGTGAGAGCTCGAATGGCGCGGGGACGAAACGGGGACGGCGTGGATGCTGATACAGCACAAGGATGCATTGGGGGTGAAGGAGATCGTGGAGGCGGTTGTGTGGGGGTATCAGCGGCGGGTGATGGGCTTATTTGGGAATGCGGATGGGTTCAAATTTACGGCGTCGCCTAATTCGGCCGTTTTGAATGTCAGGTTTACGATTAGGAACGCATACAGTAAGGCACAGGGTCAGAGGACGTCACAGCGTGAACGTGTTGCCGGCGGCAAGCCATGTACAGCAGCCGAGCTTTGCTACATCGTTTGCTTGGCGCCGCAACGGTGAGTGCTCTTTACGGCTTGCATAGTGCTGGGCCACACAACCTGTGCCATGGAGACTCCTGTTTGCCTGCCGAAGCGGCGAACCCGAGTTGATTGGATGCCACAAGGACTGCAGGGCCATGGTCTCATCCGTCCATTTCCTTCTACCGTGGGCCCCATCGGAGCCCCAGTCTGCTTCGCATGCTCTGATGAACGCTGCCATCAGCCCCAACTTCTGCTATCTGCACCCGCGGGTGGCTCATGAGGCTGCATTGCCCGAGGCAGTGCGAAGCTGGATGTTGCTGACTGGTCCGTTATCGAACCTCCCGGAATACTACGGAGCTGTTAGTGCTGTTGTGTACTAAACGGGGCTCGGTACGGGTCGCCTGCTAGCTTGCCGCGGGGGTGACTTCCCCGAGCCCGAGCGCCTGGAGGCCACACTTGATCACTACTGCCCATGAGGAGGGTGCCGTTGGCAGACGAGACGCAGTCAATTTTTGCTGACTACCTTACGTCGCTCTCTGGCTTCTCAATGAGGCGCAAAGCTGTGCTCCAACCCTGGCTGATGGGCGACGTGCCCCAACACCCCTAATTTGGCGTGATCTGATTCTACGCAGTCACAGGTTCGCAGCAGCAACTGCAGCCCATGCTGCTTACCGACACTTCCAAGCTCGTCTGGCTGATGTGGATTCCTCCATCGACACCGTCAGCCGTCATGGGCTCTGTGGATAGCGGCAACTGCCGCACTGCTCTTTACAGCGTACCGA